AAAGGTGAAATTAATATAAATATATAGACTCATTATATGCAAAAGTGAGATATTTCAAGCCTTTATTTGTTATAATTGTGATGATTATAGCTTACAGCTTATGAAAACCCCAAATTCAAAATTATAATATTGTGAAAAGGTTTTCATCAGCCATAATCATCACAATTATAACAAATAAAGGCTTGAAATATCTCACTTTGCATGTAATGAGTCTATATAATATATCAGTTTCACCTTTTAAGTTGAATTACTGAAATAAATGAACTTTTGCACGATATTCTACTTTGTCGAGTTTCACCTGTACTTGTGTAGAGCATGTTTTGGGTCTAACCCTGCCTGATGATCATAGTTTGACTCATGTTTGTGTCCCTGTGCTGTTTACATGTGTTTGGTTGCCAGCTCTATTGTTTACATGTTGTTTTGTGGCATTGCAGTTTGACACTGTGTCTCCAACTTCTTCCTGAGAAGTGATTAATATCATCCGCTCTGACGTATGAATGACTGCTGCTGTTTTGCTTGTGCAAACTCTGACGTGGACTGTGAAAACACAGGAAACGCACGTACAGCCTGTGAGATAAATCTGGCTATGTGAGGAGTTGAACGTAGAAGGATCAATGCATTTGGATTTCATGGAAGAAAACAGCCGCAACATGATTTGTTAGGTTTTAAGGCTCTGTGTAAATGAATCAGAGCTGTTGTGTCACGAGAGTCTTGATTTCAGTCGATGTGCACAAATCATACTTCAATGTAAGGAACACATGACCAGTCACAATTCAGTGTGCAAGTAGTGCGATGATGTCAGAACACTGTTACATTTTGAATGCTGAACATTCTATCAATGTTCTAAATTCTATCAGTCAAAGGGAATTTTTCAAATTTTATTCCAAAAAAAAAATATGCGTAAAAAAAGTTTATATTAAGAAAATGCAGCCTATTTTATGAATGATAAAAAATTTCTTCTTTTTTTGGTTTTGTGACATTATTTTTATGAAAATTAAGCATATTTAAACTAAAAAAATGCTTAATGATAGAAAAAAATTGGCGTCGTTTTCTTTACTAAAAGTAGAATTTATTATCTATTTTGGATTTTTGAGTGTAACACTTTATTCCGATGGTCCATTCACTAACTATAAGTAACTCCATGTCAACTATCAGTCATTAGAGTATTAGTGCTTAAAAACTCTTTATTTTGATGCTCCTCAACAGATATTCTACTGACTATCAGTAACTTTACAACTACTGTACATATAACTTATTCTACTAACCTGCACTTTATCACTCTAAAAATGCTGGGTTGTTTTAACCCAATTTTGGGTCAAAATCAAATATGGACAAACTCAAACATTGGGTTGAAATTTTTAATCCATATTTGACCCAAATTTGGGTTAAAACAACCCAGCATTTTTTTTAGAATGTAACCTACAGTCTACTAACACTCTAATGAGAGTTAGTTGACATGTAGTTGTGCAAGCAAGTCGAGTGTAAGCATGAAATATAGCAAGTGTACGTTCCTGATGGTTTTGTAATGTTGCATAATGAGCACGTGTGCCACTCTAAACAATGCTGGGTTGTTTTAACCCAAATTTGGGTAAAATATGGACAAACCCAAATGTTGGGTTAAAAATGTAATTTCAAATTTTAACCCAACTTCAACTGTCACTTTCAACTGTAATTTTTTTAATTGCATTTTTAACCCAACATTTGGCTTTGTCCATATTTGACCCAAATTTGGGTTGAAACAACCCAGCATTTTTTAGAGTGCTGTGTAATTGACTCTAGTGTTTGATCTCAGCACAGCTCCAGTGTTCCTCAGGATGTACAGCTTCATGGGAGGGGGTTTGTTCTGTGCCGTCATGGGCAACATCTTGCTGGTGGTCTCGACGGCGACGGACTACTGGATGCAGTACAGACTGTCCGGCAGCTTCGCTCACCAGGGCCTGTGGAGATACTGCATGTCGGGCAAATGCTACACACAGACCGACAGTATCGGTGAGTGTGTGACTGTATTTATTCAAGGCCTGCATGATAGTGTCACTGACTGTCTTCAAACATGTTTCCCAAACACACACGCCCCCCTCTCTCATACACTCAGGTTCAATATAACCCAACTCAATATTTAAACCCTTTAAGTTTAGAAAAGGAGAAATGTCTTAACTGAAATTAAAATCCCATGTATGAAGCGCCAGACAGAACACTTTACACTAAACTTTAAACACTTTCATGCATCATATTAGAGTGATTTCTGAAGGATCATGTGACACTGAAGACTGTAGTTATGATGCTGAAAATTCAGCTTTGATCACGGGAATAAATTACATTCGAAAGTATATTACAACAGAAATCATGTCTTTTAAATTGTAAAAATATTATTACTGTTTTTACTGTATTCTTTAATCAAATAAATGTGTAAACTCCGATTCTAGAGTCTTATTTTGCTGCACGTTATTCAAGCATTCCCACGCCTTTTTACTGATTCATTTCCATAACTTATTTTTCAGTAATTTCTGATCACTAGAAAATCATATCGCAGAGATTTCACTGAAAAATTTGAGAGTAAAGCGTAACATTATAGACATATCCATTTCTATTTTTATATTTTCAATGAGATTTATTATTTTCAATGATGTTTCCATGCCTGGAAATCCATTTTAAAATTCTCTGATGTATCATTCATATTTTCTGAACATAAACTAGCCAGGAAAAAAAGTAAAAAACTCTCAACATGTTGGCTGTTAGTTTGACATTTCTATTACTTTATTGAGATTTTATTCACTGACATGTCCAGGCCTGAAAATTACTATTTTAAATGTGTAATATTCTAACACTTTTAGGTTTTCCATGAAGCTTTTCCTTTTTTTTTTAAACAGGAAATGGTAGAATATTCAGAACATTTCCATGAAACTCTCAACATTTTCATATTTATTTCTTTAGAATAATTAAAGGGGGTATGAATCAAAATCTAAGAATTTTCATGTAATAATCACTTTTTTATTGCTAATGTGCTTGTAAAAACAAAAAAAAATTTTTTTTAAATGGTACCTTCTCCGACGGCCGTTTGTCTATGAAAGCCTGTACAATGTCACATGAAACAAATGTTTATGCAATGTTCAGGATAACACAGAAAGAGGCGTTCTTTACTGTAATGGCAATGTGTCATGCAAAGAAAATGCATTAATTCAAATAGTAGTCTATAGTCTCAAATATCCTTTATAATTGTTTTAATTATTCTTATTTCTTTTGATTATTTTAATTTCTTTATTCTAAACTGTTTTAATTATTGTTATTTCTTTTGATTTTTTTTATTTCTTCTATGTAAAGCACTTTGAATTAGCACTGTGTCCATCTCTCTCTTTGTCTCTCATTTCAGCTTACTGGAACGCAACCCGGGCCTTCATGATCCTCTCGGCGGTGTCGTGTTTCGCGGGAATCATCGCAGGCATCCTCTCCTTCGCTCACTTCTCCGCCTTTGAGCGATTCAACCGTTCCTTTGCTGCAGGGATCATGTTTTTTATTTCCAGTAAGTCTTTCCCTTCCAGTGACATATTGGCTGACTCGTGTGAGCTGACATACAGTCAAACCAAAATGTATTCAGACACCTTCAACATTTCTCACATTATCACAGTTTATTTGCTATAGTTTAGAAAATGGTAATAAAATATGACAAGAAGTCAGAGTTATCAGATCAGTTGATATTTCACTGGTTCTGTCAAGTCATCCTCATTTATATAGTGCTTTTAACATAAACATATAATTTAAGGTAACAGAGATTGGTTTGGTTTTATAGCGGTTCTTGAATAATGTTACTTCCAGCTAAAGTTAGTTTTGATTGATTCACTTCCGTTGAAATGATCATTTATTATTAAATTAGGGGCCTCTCGACACCGTTCTCTCTAAACAGACTTTAAACGCGAACCTGTGATAAACGCTGATGGCGTTCACATGCGCATTAAGAATTTCTATAGTTATGTGCGTTTGAATATATGTGCGCAGGTTTGTAATTCCCTACAAACCATGCCTAAACAAACTACTTGTCTCGCCTATAAATTTCGATACAGAATTTTATTTTATCACTTCGGGGTTGGTACGCGAACCGAAATTTCACAACGCTTTATCTGTAGAGTGGTATAGGGATCCTCCATAGGGAGAGGCTAGTTGGCACTTTAACACTGTGTTGTCATCGGGTCCAGGCGAATCTCCTTCGTCAGATCTGGATACGGCAGGCTGCGGGAAAACCTCAGGATAAACAAAGACACTAATATTAGCGTAGATGCCATTCTTCTTGTGATGTAACGAGTACATTAGGATTTAAGGGAAGTGTTCCCAGTTCCGGCTGACCTAACCTATGCAGCCTAACATTGAATTAGAGAAGTCTATAATGTATTATGTGATGCTAGGTCAAAGAGATGTGTTTTTAGTCTAGCTTTGAACTGACAGAGTGTGTCTGCTTCCCGGACAATGTTAGGAAGACTGTCCCAAAGTTTTGGTGCTAAATAGGAAAAGGATCTACCGCCAGCAGTCGATTTTGATATTCTAGGTATTATCAACTGGCCGGAATTTTGAGATTGCAATAGACGTGAAGGACTATAATGTGTTAAGAGCTCGCTCAAGTACTGCGGAGCTAAACCATTTAGTGCTTTGTAAGTAATCAGCAATAATTTAAAATTTATACGATGTTTAACAGGGAGCCAATGCAGTGTTGACAGAACCGGGCTAATATGGTCATACTTCCTGGTTCTGGTAAGAACTCGAGCTGCTGCGTTTTGAACTAGCTGTAGTTTGTTTATTAAGCGTGCAGGGCAACCACCCAGTAGAGCATTACAATAATCTAGCCTTGATGTCATGAACGCATGAACTAATTGTTCCGCATTTCCCAATGAGAGCATATGGCATATTTTAGATATATTTTTAAGATGGACAAATGCGGTTTTACAGATACTAGACACGTGACTTTGAAATGAAAGATTGGTATCAAAGAGCACACCCATGCTCCTAACCGACGACGAAGACTTAACAGAGCAGCCATCAAGTGTTAGACAGTATTCTAGGTTATTACGTGAGGAAGTTTTTTGCCCAATAATTAGAATCTCTTTTTTTTTCAGAATTTAGTTGTAGGAAATTACTAGTCATCCAAATTTTTATATCAGCTATGCATTCCGTTAATTTTGTGAATTGGTAAGTTTCGTTGGGTTTTGAAGAAATACACAGCTGAGTATCATTGGCATAACAGTGAAAGATAATTCCATGTTTCCTAATGATATCTCCTAATGGTAGCATGTACAGAGTGAACAGCAATGGTCCTAGTACTGAGCCTTGTGGTACGCCATACTGAACTTGTGATCGATAAGACATCTCTTCATTTACTGCTACAAACTGATAACGGTCAGATAAGTATGATTTAAACCATGCTAGTGCAATTCCACTAATGCCAACATAGTTTTCTAGTCTATTTAAAAGAATGTTGTGGTCAATGGTGTCAAATGCAGCACTACGATCAAGTAACACTAATAGAGAGATACAACCACGATCGGATGATAAGAGCAAATCATTTGTGACTCTAATGAGAGCAGACTCAGTACTATGGTACGGTCTAAATCCGGACTGAAAATCCTCGCAGATTTCATTTCTTTCAAGAAAGGAACACAGTTGTGAGGATACTGCTTTTTCTAAAATCTTTGATAGAAAAGGCAGATTCGAAATCGGCCTGTAATAGACTAATTTTGTATGATCAAGTTGCGTTTTTTTAACAAGCGGTTTATTCATAGCCAGCTTAAAGGTTTTTGGTACGTATCCTAGAGACAAAAACTAATTAATGATGGTAAGAAGAGGATCTATGACATCTGGAAGCATCTCCTCAGTAGCTTAGTCGGTATAGGGTCTAACATACAAGTTGTCGATTTAGATGATTTAACGAGTTTGCAGAATTCTTCCTCTCCTATACCAACAAATGAGTCAAATTTTTCCTCAGGGAGACTACAATGCACTGCCTGAATACTGTAGTAGACGGTTGCATAGTTATAATTTTGTCCCTGATATTATCGATCTTAGAAGTAAAGAAGTTCATAAAGTCATCACTGCTGTGTTGCTTGGACACTTCTGGGCTTGAAGCTTTCTTTTTCGTTAGTTTAGCCACTGTTTCAAAACAATACCTAGGATTATGTTTATTTTCTTCTACTAGGGTTGAAAAATAAGCAGATCTAGCAGCGTTTAAAGCCTCTCTGTAAGCAATCGAGCTCTCCTTCCACGAAATGTGAAATACCTCTAGTTTAGTTTTCTTCCAGTTGCGCTCCATTTTTCTGGCTGCTCTCTTAAGGGCCCGGGTGTGCTCGTTGTACCACGGCGTTGGACTATTTTCTTTAATCTTCTTTAAGCGCAACGGAGCAACTGTGTCTAAAGTGCTGGAAAAGTGAGAGTTAAAAGTTTCTGTTGCAAGTTCTTCTATGCTAACCGGGATGATGAAACTGATCAGGAAGATTATTAATAAAGCAATCTTTAGTGGCATAAGTGATAGGTCACAACATATTTGTAACACGGAGTCGGCTTTGCAGCCTTGGCTAAATGTAATTCCATCCTTCCATCCTGTCCATCCTTCACAAATGAATTATGTTGAATATCTGTCAGCTGTTCAATTTAACTACACAATTAGATAATACCAGTTTAGCTCAACCAGTGACCAAGCAATGCTTCATGTTGTTCAGTCTGTGGTGTAAAAAGAGCATTAGCAATTAAAGAAAAAACACTGACGCAAAACATGCTCAGGTCAAAGAGTCTGAATCATTTTTGGTCCCAAATTTGTATAAATGTTACTGGTAGTCACTGTATGAAGAATTTCGTGGTATAATATGTCACAGTTTATTTTATTCTGCTATCCTCACTTACATAAATGAACTATAGTGTCCTGCACCCACTAGTAAAGAAATATAAAAAATGATATCTGGTGTCTGAATAATTTTTGGTTTGACTGTAAGTCATCTTAACCGCTCTGTCTCATTCATTTCTCCTCCAGCACTCTTTGTTCTGCTCGCTATGGCAATCTACACCGGCGTGACGGTGAACTTCCTCGGGAAGCGCTTTGGTGATTGGCGTTTCTCATGGTCCTACATTCTGGGCTGGGTCGCTCTGCTCATGACCTTTTTTGCAGGTCAGTAATGATTTTTTTAGTCTGATATCCAAAATGTGCTGTTGGTCTCATGGAACGCATTTGTTTTGTTTTGCAGGTATATTTTACATGTGTGCCTACAAGATGCACGAATGCCGAAGAGTGGCCGGAACTCGCTAAAACAAAAGAGAAGCAAACACCGTGTCTAAACATGTATATACAGGTGTTTGGTTATCTGATCCCACTTAAAAAGCCAACAAAAGTTGCCTGAAAGATCCTTGATTTCTTTAGTCTCTATCCCAATCATGCACATTTGAGGTTAAAAATAGTTCAGATCAAAACCGAATCATTGTTCATGCAAAGACAAAATTTCAAATAAAATCTCAGACTATTCTCATCATTTGAACTCATTCTGTTTATTCACTGTTTGACAAATTAAACTAGAAAAGGAGAGTTCACCAAGACAGACTTTGAATGTTTAAATAAAGGTTATACAGCCCAACATAGCAAATGTTAGAACAGTTTGTGAAACTTTTCTGAAACAGAGGAGAAGCATTTCATTGTGCTCTTTTATTAAGAAGAAACTATTTGGTCTCCTTATTCATTTCTTTCCTATGGGTACAGATCTGCATTAGTTGATTAGAGGATAAAATACACTGCTTTATGCGTAAAATTTATCAAAAGTGTCAGTAAAAACATATATAATGTTACAAAAAAAAGAAAATTCCAATCAATTCTGTTCTTTGGAATCTGTTCTATTGATCAAATAATCCTGAAAAAACAATGTATCACAGTTTCCACAAAAATATATAGCAGCATAACTATAAGAAATGTTTCTTGAGCATCAAATCATCACACTCTACAAAATGCTGGGTTGTTTTAACCCAAATTTGGGTCAAATATGGACAAACCCAAATGTTGGGTTAACAATGTAATTTAAACATTTAACCCAATGGCTGAGTTTGTCCATATTTGACCCAAAGATGGGTTAAAACAACCCAGCATTTTTTTAGAGTGTATTAGAATAATTTCTGAAGGATCATGTGACACTGAAGACTGGAGTAATGATGCTGAAAATTCAGCTTTGATCACATGAATAAATTACACTTTACTATATATGAACTTGTAAAACAGTTATATTAAAAAAAAATATTATGTATTAAAAAACATTATTAACTGTTTTTACTGTATTTCTGATTGAATAAATGTCGCATTAGTGAGCAGAAGAGACTTCTTTCGAAAACATTAAAAATCTTACAGACTTTTTCAATGGCTTACTATAGTATAGGAAGATATAAAATGCATGAAGCCATGACATAATAGTGACATTCAAGTGCAAAAGCTGTTCATTTTGAAATAATCTTCAGGTCAGTTTCACACTTATCTTTCTTATGCCTAAAACACCATTTCTTGAGCAAAGCGATCGTAGCGCTTTCACGGAAAGTGGAGGATGAGAAGTAGAAGACGAATGGATCGAGGCATGTGTTGAGCGTGCTGGGCAGGAGTGTGTAGTACCTCCACGGCGGGCTGTTGTTGCTGCTGAAACCCACCAGATGGGACATGTTATAGGGCAGAAAACAGAGTAAAAAGATGGTCAGCGTGCACAACGCCATCCCAATGGCCCTTTGCTTTTTCACTTTGGCTATGTGAGGCCTGCTATACAAGATACAGATGCAGTTAATATAGCAGAAGATGCAAACTAAGAGCGGTAGGATGTAAATAACCACAAAAAACTCAAAACGAACTGGTAACAAGACCTCCTTTTGCTTCTCGGTGAAGTTCTCATAGCAGACGGTTTTGGGTTCAGTGCGGTTCTCTGGCATATGGACGATGATGAATACGATGCTGCAATGACCGGCACTGATCAGCCAGATTAAGACGCTGCCAACCGAGGCGTAAAGAGGCTTTCGCATGAGTCTGTATTTGAACGGAAAGGCCAGTCCTAAGTAGCGATCCACAGCTATAGCCATGAGCAACAGGGAGCTGGTGTAAATGGTGGTGAAAAAGAAGAAGGATGTGATTGAGCACAGGCTCTGGGGTAAGTACCAGTGCATTCCTGCGGCGGCTTCATACATCTTGAAGGGCAGAAAGAAAAGGAAGACCAAGTCGGACACCGTCAGGTTGAGGAGAAGGATGTCACTCGGACTGGGTTTGTCACCGAGTTTCTTTATGAACGTGCATATGGCCAGGAGATTGGCCGGCAAGCCGATTAGAAACGTCACAATGTAGACTGATAAAATGACCCAGTGGTTTGTCATTTTGCATGTGAAAGGACTCTGAAAAATAGCAAGATTGACATCTCATACAACTTATATGAGAGTTAAAATGCAACATTTTCAGGCATTTTTAAATGTGACGTTCATGTCTACATTTTTAGGGCACTATATGCAGGAAATGCATAATCATGCACAGGAGAAGTTGCATTACAAAAATAAAAATAAAAAAATAAACCATGCCCCTTGGTTTTGTTATCTAATAAAAATACTTGGATTTATTATTTATTTAGCTTTTTTCAATGCAACTTCAGTACACACTTTTCTAAAAAGTAACACTAAAGAACAGCCATAATGCGCTAAAAATATATTCAGACATGAAAGTCACACTTAAAAATGTCAGAAAGTCATTGTATTAGATAACAAAACCAAATGGTTTATTTTTCTTTCATTTTAATATTTACTTTTTTTCCTGTGCTTGATCACACTTTGTCTAGAAGTTATGCCATTCAGACTACATTTTTGAGAGGTATATTTATTTGAAATACATTTTTCGTTTCAACACAAAGGAAAAGTCACTAATATAAAAACTGAGTTACAGTCGTCTGTACTTACCACATAAGTTTGCTTCCCTGGTCTTAGGTATAGTTTGATCAAATAGACGTCCCTTGGCCTTGAGTAGTCAGATTGAGCAGAGATCACGTCACAGGATGATTAAGAGGAGATCTGTATCTTTAAGAGTGTAAGGTTACGTGACTGTAGGTGTATCACTGCAGACACAGCTAAAGTTTAACTAAAATGCAAAACTCATATTGCATCTGAATTCAGGAAGTGTAATCAACATGCAAACCTCACTAACATGCATCATATTGTTAGATTACAAAAAAACACATGAAAAAAGGTTACAATATTGGTTGATATTTTGTTTTTGCATCTGAAGTATTTTGACATGAAACATTGCTTTTTTGTAAACGCTTGTAAAACTGTGAAAGTATAAATATTTTGGTCTTACCACCAATACAGTTCCCTTGAGATTTTTTTGCATCGATAAGGAGCATACAAATGTTGTTGAGTTTATTTATCTTTCACATACTCACCATTGAAGAAAATGCATCTGTTTGATATGAGATAAAAATCGGCTGAACACAGTCTGAACTTTTGACTCCTTGAAACTAAATGATAGCTATCAGGAAGACAGGGATTTCCATGCAACCTTATAATTTTAGCTGAATGATGTAAAAAAAGACTTGGTGCAAAAATGCCCTGGATGTATCATATTCAAAAATATCCATATAACAAACAGTGGTGGACAAAATCAACTACTTAAGTAAGAGTACAGACACAAATAGGCTATATTACGTAGTGGGGAAGATACATGGACATTAATTTGCGTTATTTTAACATTTAGTTTTGACCTAAAACCTGCCTCGTTTAGACCATAATTATCTATTGACATCGACACTTTAGTTATATCTTTAAACAAAACCCCCTATTTCATCATCCAGTATTTGTGTGATATGCATATTTGTGGTTATTATATTAAACCTCAGTTTTTGGAATTGTGACTTCATGATGAAGCAGATTTTGAACTTGAAATCTCATTACTGGAACGCAAACATTGTCATTCTCATTCTGTAATGTGAAAAATATATATATTATTCAAACAAATAATGACACATCATGGTAGCATTTTTTGTTGTTGTCCTTGTTTGAATTTATGGTGGCCATAAAAGCTTCATATATCTATTTTATTGTTTTTGTATTAAAATATTCTGCATCTTTAAACACAAAATAAACAGCCGAAGTTAACAATGTGTTTGTGACTTTAACCTTGCCACACATTATGTGCACATTATAAGGCGCATGTTAAATGGCAAAAAGAAGATTTCTTGAAATATAAATTTCAAAGCTTGTCCAAAAAGCTCAAGATGGGATTCATATTCATGACCTCATAATGTTCATAGTTTGCACTCTATTTTCTGACTGTTTTCTGCTGCAACTATATTCAAATGCAGCACTAAACTTCAGCTCAAATTGAAAGGCAAGCACAATGAATATCAGTGTACATGTTGCACATAAAAACATCTGTAAATTGTGGCAGCAATTTATGCAAAAATGTTTTTACAGTTTCGTAATCGGGTATTTCCCAGAATTCGGGCCTATTTCTGTCCACAGGGCGTAATTCTATTTAAAACGAATTAAATCTAATACATTTTAGAACCACTAATTAGTATAAACCAAAACAAGCCTAGACTTTTTTTATGGCTGCTCTTACTAATGATTTTAACACATTTTATTGGTGTTTTGTGGTACAATATCTGTGTTTTGGTGTTGTCCGCCACCAGAGTTTTCACATGTCGTGCCATATCTCAAACATTATTTATCACAAATTAATGAAAAAAAATATGCATATAAATTAAATGTTACCTGAACTAATAAACTACATGCACAGATTAAGCATATATATGCATTTTGTACTTTATTTTGCTTAATTTCTACCTGTCCCATGGTTTAGCTGTCATTACCAACACGCTCTGCATAAAGGCACTTTTTAACTGTTTTTTCATCAAAAGTTTATTTGGTAGCCATGGTAACCTAATAGCATAGTGGAGCACATGGATTTCAAGCTGCAAGACTGATGCCTTGATGTCCAGAAAATTAAGTAAATCTACTCTTTATTTTTTGTGTTGGGCATGTACACTTATTATGCGTCATTACCATATGTGTTGTATTTCTGGGTTTTTTCAACATTTTGGGATTATTTTTATCACTTTAATAGTTAAAATGGTGTACATTACATGCAGAAAGCTAGCTACACTTGCTTAGTCATCATCTTTGCTAGCAAGGCTAGTTTTTTGACAAAAAATGTCATTACCAGCACAGTCATTACCAGCACATTACAGCTTGTGCTGGTAATGACAGGTTGTGGTGGTGATGACGGCCGATACACACAGTTCCTGTTTGGTCTTTCATAATCAGATTAAACTATGATGTTTAAACCAATTAATACCTGGTGTGTTTTTTTGTTTTTTTTTTGGTCTGAAGTCACTTAGGCTCTTAAATTACAATAGGTTATGATCAGTGATATGTCATCACCGCAACAAACTGTCATTACCAGAACGGCAATATCATCACCATCACCATCAGGCCGTGCACAGACATTTTGAAGGGCAGTGGCTTATACCAAAAAATGGGGGCACTATAAGGAGTTTGACTGACAACATACACGCTGGTGACACCCCCCCCCCCCCCCCCCCCCCCCCATTTTGAGTTTGACCTATACTATCAACTTAGGGATTATTAAAAGTATATTAATTTAGCCAAAGTATTTGTATCAATACTATGTGTCTTTTGTGCTGGTTTTACCCCGTGTGTAGGCTACCTCCTTGCCACCTCATACATTAATACGATTTTTAAACTAACAAACCACCTTTATGATTTATTTTCACACAAAATCTGTTGCTCCATCAATTTTCAAACATATATTTTTCTGCAATCAGCAAATGTTAGGGTGTGCCTTTAGCCCCATTGTAACCTACAGTAGCTAATATACTAAGGTACTATTTATTTAGATCAGTGTTAATTTTGACAGCAAATTTTGATTTAGTCTTAGTCTTTTGACTAAAATGCCATTTAGTTTTAGTCATATTTTAGTCATCTGAATTGTTTTAGTTTTAGTCGACGAAATACAATAAGGTTTTACAGTAGATTTAGTCGACTAAAATTTAATGGGTTTAGTGTTAAATTGTAATGCATTAATTTAGAATTTCTCTAAAATGTCCAAACCCATTATATATTCCCGTAGAAAACATCTATTAACCTGATAATATTAATAATTTTTAAAGTTTGAACATGCAATACAGACACATATTTAGCACTGTGACATAAAATAATATCTTAAAATTAAAGTCTTACATACATCATTCTTTATTCTTTCAAGCAGACATATTTATTTGTACGAATTAAAATATAATTAATCCTTATTAAAGCTATTAAAGAGCAGTGAATGCTTTTCTCTTTTTATTTTGTTGTTTGATTAATATTAAGTGCACAGACGGCATTAGGTTTATTACGCACTGTCACTTTAAGACCGAGTGTGCAGATCCAATTGCACTGATGCACAACCAATATTCTCACAACTGTACGTTCTGTAAAGACATAACTGACTGCGTTTACGTGAATACTCTCCAAAACGGACATTTAGACATAATGTTGTGTGTATTTGTCCATTCAGACGCGAAAGAGAGCTCAGTTCAGTCCTTGCGCGCTGCTCTGTCTATGTGCAGGGCTGCACGCGTCGGGTTGTGTGTGTGTGTGTGTGTGTGCGCAGGTGCACGCACAGAAAAAAAATACAGAATAAAGGCCTTTGCACACTGCGTTTTTTCGTATTCGTGATTCGTTGGCTCTGAATTGTCAAAACACCATTCAAACTCCATTCAAACTGGCTACGGTTCGATTAGATTTTTACCCGATTCGATTTTTTTTATGACGGACGAAAGTTTCGGAGGCAGTGTGCAAGTGTGATTGACATAACGTGAGGTCGTATTTATTTTTTAACGTGCGAAAATTCTGGAGCGATAACAACGTTTTTATGGAAATCCTCTGGAGGGTTAGGGAGGGGGGCGAGAGGGGCACCTCAGCTGATGAGGGCAGAAGGGCAGTGGCTCTAGCCACCGGGCTACCCCCCTGTGCACGGCCCTGATCACCATACATATTTTTGCCAATAAATTATGTATACATTACAAAAACATCCTACAATTATATATATCTGACAATGTTGGACAGTCTAAATTATCACTGTATTAAAAAAGATTTGATATATGGCATTTACTTAAAATAAGCTTATATTCCAAGCTAGGGTAGATTGATGAATCAGAAATGTAGATACTTAAATGACTATAATTCATCTTACAAGTAAAAATCAACAATCCCATTAAGTTCAAGATAAAATAGATTCCGTGTGAAACCACAAAATGTTTTAAAAGCACTGATTTATCATTTAAGTTTTATTTTTATATGTATATTCGATGATGTGATGGTAATGACACATTTACTTGACATAGTTAAAAAAAATGGCAAAAAATCATAAATTCCCTTATCTTATGGTCTCAACCAAGCTCATAACGTTGTTCCTGACTTAAGGACTGATCATTTGATGTATACCAATTAGTCAAATTTGGGATTTTAATTTTCAAAATTGCAGCAACCCAATTTGGCCCTTAATCTGAGAAATGCCCAATCGTGAAAGAGGCCCAATGTGTTAGATGAGCATTGTGAGCGATGAGCATTGTGAACTGACAATTGCTAGGCTACAAAACACAAAACATTGTTGGTGTATGTGAAAATATTTGTATGCAAATTTATTCGATTTATTAGGTTTTGATTGTCTTTTATTTATTTAATTATTCCTTTTTTTAATCCTATCAATCTTTTCTTTATGAGTTCTCATTGATAGAATTCATTTATATCATCATTAATTGTAATATTCCTGTTGCAAGTAATTGATTTCTATAAAAAATTCTATATTTAATACTATATTTATGCTCGTTTGATTATTTCCAAATGCAATATCTTTGGTGTCTCTTCTGTGCTGTAAGTTCGAGTGGGTGTATTTTCCATCAGATATGATTATGTGATGCACCATTAATAGGCTATGTCCGTTTCCATCTCTGCAGGTCTAAAAGATGTCAA